TAATTGTATGGAATGCTATGGTTAATTCACCTTGTCACCTTACAAGTAATTTGGTGTTATCATTCATCTGGTTGTTTGTACTAACCTTTAATTTTTTGTTGAATTGATTTAGTACTGTTGGAACAATTTTATGTGTTTTTCATGGTCTTCTTGCAACCATGTTGTAACAGGAGGTCAAAACTAAATGTGTCTTTTCTGTAAATGGATGTTCTGTGATATTTAATGTTAAGATGTTTTTGGAATGTAGTTAATTCGTGACCTTTATATTCTAGAGTGACTTTTATGGTGGATAAGATGAGGCTGAGATGGTTTGGACATATGAAGAGGAGGAGCACAAATGTTCTAGGGAGGAGGGGTGAGAGGTTGGGAAGGGTGGGTTTAAAGAGGGTTAGAGGTAGGTCGAAGAAGTAAATGAAAGAGGTGAATAGACTTAAGAGGACATGAAAATTTAAGTGTTGCGTTTGTACACACCTTAGATGTATCGTATCCTTATTTTGTTGGGTTTAAAAGGTGTGAATGAAGAATGAAGAGTTGTGATTTTTATGAAAATTTTGCGACTTTTCTGGAGAGTTGCGATTTTTCTGAAAAATTGTGTTTTTCCATAAGGTTGTGACTTTTATGAAGAGTTGTGACTTTTGACTTTTCCAGAGCGTTGTGACCTTTCCGATAAGGCACCATAAGAGTTTATTCACACTACTGTCTATTCTGCACAAACAAATTCAGTGTACTTTACTACCGTTGAGTGGTTTGTTCACCGTGCCAATCCAATACACGAGTGAGTAAAATTGTTCTATCCTGGTAGAGGATATATTATATCAATCTCGGATACTTGAGAGGAATAATTTCCTAAGTTATCGTTCTAAGTATTTTCGTAATTCGGATTAAACAACATGTTTGAACTTTATTGAGTTGTTTCTTCTTCTGCTGGAATAGATAGTATAATAGAATGGAAGGTGTTTCGGCTGCTGAGGTAAGGAATGGCGCCAAAGATATTCAAGGAATCCAATGGTATAGGAGTACCAATGTAACCAGGGAGGAAGTTAGGCAAAGAAAACTACGAAACAATCTGTGGAACCGTGGAAGAAATATTCCTCAATCTGGTGAGACACCAGATAAGGTAATACAAACTTATATTTTAATTACTTTCTGAATGGTTTAGAAGAAAAAAATGTTGTGTTCAATGTGGATTTGGTGTCATTTTACCCCTTTGTATGTCAACAGGAGCACAAAACCATTAAGAAAGATTGTTTATACGATTTCAGATGGTATGCAGGATCCGTTAAACCATCGTTCTCCAACTCCCGGGTAAGTTTCAGATCTTTGTTGTGATTTGTGTGTGGAGTAAACTAGGAGCTTACTTAGAGAATAAGTTGAACAACATTTTGAATAATTCATCTGTTCTTTTTCCAAATTTTGCAACATAGCTGAGGAATATGGTCTGGGCAACGTCTAAGCACGATGTGTACCTCATGTCTAATTTGTCTGCCGTGCATTGGTCATCATTGACCTGCACGAAAACAGAGATTCTCAACTTCTCAGGGCATATAGTACCACTCGAGGTATGTATTTTTGTACATCAAATTCACTTATCATAAATTGGTTTGGACCTCCTTTCCAATCCTTTCTCTTTTTCTCTTCTCTATTAGAAACATCCTAAAAGCTTTCCAGAGGGATTTACTGCAACCCGAGTAAGCACACTCGCGGTGAAAGATAAGTTGCTTCTTGCCGGTGGATTGCAAGGAGAACTTATAGTCAAGGTTTGTTAATGTCCTTACAACTGTTCTTTTTTTAAAATACCGTTGGTTTTAGGACTTCCTTTATGTGCAGTACTTGGATAAACCTGGAGTTAGCTTTTGTTTTCGGCCAACATATGATGATGATGATGCCATAACCACTTGTATTGAGATTAACGACAGTGCCAGGTATTGCATCATCTTGCTTATTGCCTGAACCTCTCTCGATCAATAAGGTTATACTTTCTTTTCTTAGTGAGGATGAAGCTAAACGCGATATTTATTTCTATGCAGTGGTGCACTTCATTTTATTGTTTCATACAATGATTCTGGAGTTAGGGAATTTGATATGGAGACGTTTCAACAGTCTAACTATTTCCATTTTAACTTGCCAGTGAATGTAAGTCTGTATTCGACTAGTCTATGTATGAACCTGTTTCGTTTATAGTATATATCCTATCTTGATACAAAGATCTTTCAGTGGTTTACATTTTGTTTTGATATTACTAAATCCTTTTCCGTTTTTTCTGCTCTCAGCATACATCACTCAGCCCTGATGGCAGGCTTCTCGTAGTAGTTGGGGATGATCCCGAAGGAATGTTGGTTGACTCCAGGAATGGAATGGTATGTTTGGACATCTCAAATGTACTGCACCGCGAATTATTAGTATAATAAGAGGTCGACTAACAAAATCCATTTTTTACAGGTTGTTTCTTCTCTGTCTGGACATGTGGACTACTCGTATGCATCAGCATGGCATCCTGATGGCCAAACATTTGCAACTGGGAATGAGGATAACACGTGCAGAATATGGGATATCCGAAACTTGTCCAAGTCAGTCACTGTGTTGAAGGGTACATTTGGACCTATTGTGTCAATGCGCTACACGTCTGATGGCAAATATATGGCTATGGCAGAGCATGAAGATTTTGTCCACATTTTTTATGTAAAAAGTGGATATGTGGTGGAACAAGAAATTGATTTCTTCGGTGAGATATCAGGAGTGTCTTTTAGTCCCGATACAGAGTCCCTTTTCATTGGCTTGAAGAGTTCTGCATGGAATGGCCTCCTTGAGTTTGGACGACGACACAATAATTCATACCTTGATGCAATGATATGAAGGCTGCACCAGTAAACATAGTTAGCAGATTATATTTGTTGTATTGTTGTGCTATTTGTATGTCTCATAAGAAATTGTAAGCACAGAAGATGTATACACAGAAAGCTAGACGATTTCCGGTCATTTGAGCGATAAAACTGAGAGCATTGTTGTTAGAATTGCATAAACTTCAAATTCAAAATTCACTTTTGGATGGAACATATGAGATCCCTCCACCTTTATTTAGAGATTGCAAAGTTTAAATCCTGGAATTGAAACTTTTTTAGTATTGAGTGATTTTGTAATGCGAATTTATTCAAAACAATGGAATTCTCCGCCTTGATTAACCTTTATGCAAGTAAACTTCATAATAATAATTGAACTGGAGAGATTCAGTATTAATTATCACTTCTCCTTGTATATACTTTAAATTGCAAATATAACATTGATTATGTTATTAATTATTGACATAACCGAATAACTGAACTAAAAAACCAAACTGAAAAGAGAAAAACCAAATTTATATTGGTTTGGAACATTGGATTACACTTTTTCAAAATCAAAAATCGAAAAACCTGAACAAAATAGTATAGAATCAAACCGAAAAATCAAATGCACACCCGTTACGATGCATAATCCATATCTGTTATATTTTGTAAATCGTAAATAAGGAAAAAATATCCTAATAACTTAATATGGCGCGAATACTAATACTAAACAATGTAGGAAACCAAGAGCTTTATATGGCGCAAATACTAATACTAAACCATGTAGGAAACCAAAAAAATATAAAAATTCAGAAAACGGACATTGTGATTTATGAATGTAATAACATCAAAAAAATTTAGCATATAAGCATACATATGTTGAAATTTTTTGGGCCTCTTCAAATCTATCGTAATCAACAGGCAAAAAAACAAGCACCTTAGATTTTCGACTCAAGGTCAGAAATTTAACACTCCTTTTACCTCTATCTTCTCTAGGCGATTGTTTTTTTTTCGGAGTGAAAGGTCGAAAAACACATCTAAAATAATTGAATTTTTTGAGTTTTATACCTGAACTAATAGATGTTTAAGTTTTTTTTATCTAAGATATCAGTTTTGTTTCACTTATTATATCTTAGATATCATTATTGTTGATAAGTTGGTTATATTTCAGATAGAAAAATCGCACATCTAATAAACTAGAATACTTTATGTGTGTTTTTGACGTTTAACTTTTTATTTATAGAGAAAAAGATAAATAATTAATTTACCTTGTGATCACCTATGTATACAAGTAATTTGTTGTTTATACGAACCGTTGAAGTTTGTTGAATTGATTTAGCTTTATACTGTTGGAGGTAGTTGAGTGTTGTCTCGCTCTCGTGCGGGGTAGGCTTGGTGGATAGATAGTATTAGCATTATTATCGTAGTTTTTGTGCTTTGTTTATCACATTATTCTGCTTTATATGGTCTGTTACACTTTCTTTATTATTTGTTATGCCTTGTTTTACCTCTAGCTCTACGAGGTAGGGGTGAGGTTGGCATATACTCTACCCTCACCTGACCCCACATGTAGGAATACACTGGGTATATTATTGTTGTAGTTAAAGTTAACTTTCATGATTTTTGGTTGTAGATCATTTAGTTGGAGTGTAACATGTCCCATCAACAAGGAGATGATGTTGATTATGTAGCAGATGAACATGAAATGGAAGAACTAGATGTTTTTATTGATGAGTTCCAAGACATAGACTTGGATGGCTTTGATTCGGATGTAAATGAAAGGCGAGGCATAGACTTGGATGGCTTTGGTTCGGATGTAGATGAGTTCCTAGACGTAGAATTGAGTGACGTTGAATCGTATATAGATGAGTTGCAAGAAACAGACATGGTTTGTTAATTCATTATGAAAATTTAATTGTTCCATTTGTACACGCCTTAGATGTATCATATCCATGTTTTAGTACGAATCTGCTTCAAATGTTTGAACTTTATTGAGTTGTTTCTTCTTCTGCTGGAATAGAATTATAGAATGAAAGATATTTCGGCTGTTGACGTGAGGAGTGGCAGAGATATTCAAGGGATCCCCTGGGAAAGGGCTATCGTAACCAGGGAGATACGTAGGCAAAGAAGGCAACAAGAATATCAGAACTACGAAAATATTCATCAATCTGATGAGAAATCAGAAAAGGTATTTTAATTACTTTATAAGTAATGTGTTTGGATGAAAAAAATGTTGTATTCAATGTTGATTTGGTGTAATTTTCCCCTTTTGTTTGTCAACAGGAGTGCAAAACCACAAAGAAAGACGGTTTATACTATGATTTCAGATATAATGCAAGTTCCGTTATACCAACGTTCTCTCACACTCAGGTAAATTCAGAGCTGTTGTCAACTCTTCTATTTCTTAGAGAATAAGTTGAACGACATTTTGAATAACCTGTCTATTCCTTTTTCAAATTTTTCGACATAGCTGAGGAATATGATCTCCGCAACTTCTAAGCATGATGTGTACCTACTGTCACATTTTTCTCTCATGCATTGGTCATCATTGACCTGCGTGAAAACTGAAATTCTCGATTTATCAGGGCATGTAGCGCCATGTGAGGTATGTAATTTTGTACATCGAATTCACTTAATGTATTTATAGTCTTAACTTGATTATATGAGGACCTCCTTTTCACTCGTTTCTTCTTCTCTTTCTCTATTAGAAACATCCTGAAAGCCATTCAGAGGGATTTACACACACCGAAGTAAGCACTCTCGCTGTGAATGATAAGTTGCTTGTTGCTGGTGGATTACAAGGAGAACTTATCGTCAAGGTTTGTCATGAATGTTCTTAGAACTGTCCGCCCTCGTTTACATGTTTAGCTTTTGCTGTCAAATATGCTAAACATGAAAAGGCTTATGTATTATGTGCAGTATTTAGATAAGCCTGGAGTTTGCTTTTGTTCTCAACCAACGTATGATGATGATGCCATTACCACTGCTATTGAGATTAAAAACACTGTCAGGTATTGCATCATCTTGCTTATTGCTTGAATCTCTCTCGATTGATAAGGGTATACTTTCTTTTCTTAGTGAGGATGAAGCTAAATTACATATCTATTTCAATGCAGTGGTGCACTTCATTTTTTCGCTTCAAATAATGATTGTGGAGTTAGAGATTTCGATATGGAGACATTCCAACTGTTTAACCATTTCCATTTACCCTGGCCAGTGAATGTAAGTCTGTATTCGACTAGTCTATGCCTGAACCTGTCTCATTTATAGTATCCTTTTGACGCTTGATACATTTCGTTTTGATATTACTGAATCATTTTCCCCTTTTAATGGTCACAGCATACATCAGTCAGCCCTGATGGTAGGCTTCTCATAGTAGTTGGGGATGATCCCGAAGGAATGTTGGTTGACTCCAGGAATGGAATGGTATGTTTGCACATCTCAAACGTACTGCACCGCGAATTATGAGTATAATAAGAGGTCGATGGGTGGTCCGCTAACAAAATTCATTTTTTTTATAGGCTCTTTCTCATTTGTCTGGACATGTGGACTACTCATTTGCATCAGCGTGGCATCCTGATGGCCGAACTTTTGCAACTGGGAACCAGGATAAAACGTGCAGAATATGGGATTGTCGGAACTTGTCCAAGTCAGTCACTGTTTTGAAGGGCAACCTTGGAGCTATTCGGTCAATTAGCTACACGTCTGATGGCAGATTTATGGTTATGGCAGAGTCTGCAGATTTTGTCCATGTTTTTTATGTTAAAAGTGGATATGAGGTGGAGCAAGAAATTGATTTCTTCGGTGAGATATCAGGAGTGTCTTTTAGTCCCGATACAGAGTCCCTTTTCATTGGCTTGAGGAATCGCACATTTGGTAGCCTCCTTGAGTTTGGACGACGTCACAACTATTCATACCATGATGCAATGATATGGGCACTTTGAAGGTAGAAGTGGATCATATTTAGGTTCATATTTGTTGTATTGTTGTGCTATTTATATGTCGCATAAGAAATTGTGAGCACAAAAGATGTAGAGTGTAGTGATATACAGAAAGCTAGACGATCTTCAGTCATTTGAACGATAAAACGAAATATATTTTTTCTTTAGCATAGGCCAACTAGTGTAACTTTCCATGTTGGTTGGTGGCCTATTTTGCATAGACATAAAATTTGTGTTACTAACCTTTAGAAGTACATGTGAAATTGATGTCAATCGTTGTGTGTCAATCTTCCTTTATGATGTGTTGTATGGATTTTTAGAGGTGTAGAAGTTGGTGTTTCTTATTTGCATAGCTACGTGACTATTCTAACGTGAGTTGGTATCAAGGTAAACTATTACTTCTATAAGCCAGGGGCGGAGACACCTTGGAGTCGGGGTTCATCCCCTTCAGCTAGTTTGTGTGTTGAATTCTTCGGATTATGAACATCCATAGTAAAAATATTGGCTCAGCCATTGCCAATAAAACTTGTGGTGAATGGGGATTGACCATTCAATGTGGTACTCCTTCGGTCTCAACTTTATGTGACACACTTTTTTTTATCGATGTGACAAGTAATGACATATTCTTAGTAATTATTTTATTTTATTTTATAGGCATATAAATATGTATAACTAATTTCAGACTACAAGTTTTAAAAATCTTTTTATTATTCCTAACTCGTTGAACAGTTAAATGCTCTCACATAAATTAAAAATAAATAAATCAATCTTTTTTTTTAGTATTATATTTACAATGTAAATAACTTAAACGCATTTGTAAATATATATTTTTGCTAGTATAGAAAAAGAAAAGATTGGGTTACAAGTTACAAGGATCTGTAATCCACAAAGAACCAATAAATGAAAGCCAACTCATCTCCAAAAAATCTACTTCCCCTCATTTCCCCTCACTCATTTCCAAATCAAATCCCTATTTCATCTTTAGATATTGAAATCCCCAATAACCACAAATACTCCCCAATTTTGCATTGCATCAACAACAATTTCCAAATCCCCAACCTCCACACAACTCAAAAATGGCATCAGCTCTGTTTTCTGCACCAACTTTCCAAGGTCTCAGACCACTCAACAAACCCACTGACTCTTCCCTCTTCCTCAACAAACCCATCGCCTTCAAACCTATCACCAAAAAAACCCGAAATCTCGCTGTGAAAGCTGAACTCAACCCATCAATTGTCATCAGTTTGAGCACTGGGCTTTCACTTTTCCTTGGAAGGTTCGTTTTCTTTAATTTCCAGAGAGAAAATATGGCGAAACAAGTGCCGTCTCAGAATGGAATTTCTCACTTTGAAGCTGGAGATGTTAGGGCTAAGGAATATATAAGTTTGTTAAAGTCTAATGATCCAGTTGGATTCAATATTGTTGATGTGCTTGCTTGGGGATCTATTGGACATATTGTTGCTTACTATATCCTTGCTACTTCTAGCAATGGATATGATCCCAGTTTCTTTGGCTGAACCAAAAAAAAAAAAAAGTATGATGTGTTTTTTTTTTTTAACTGATTTATGTGAAATTGATGTGGTTTTGTTTGTAATGCAGTAGCTTTTATTTGTATAGTGCCAAAGAATTACTAGTACTATCTCTGTTTTCCTTTGCTTTGATCGTTTTATTCTGTGTTTGATATTCGTATTGGATCCAATGAAATTCATGCATACATCAAAAATTAAGTGTCATGCTAAGAAATATGATTTTGCATCATTTTGGACTATTTCATAATAAAAATATGTGATTGAGCTAGAATTTTTATAAAGGGATTTCAAAATATGAAAAGTTTAGAGCACATACAAAAAATGATAATAGATCTCGTTGTTATAATTAATGGAAAAAAAGTTCGATGCTTATGATTAAGTAGGAGGCGAATCATATACTAAAGAAGAAGAAAAAATGAAGTATATGCTTTTGATGAACATATATTTATGTGTGCTGATAAAACATAAAGAGTAACTGATCAAATTTGCGGATTTTCTAGTGAGGAAACACTTGTGATCCTATAAGTCCTGCGCTAGACATAAAACACAGAAATTAAGGAGATTTCATATGTCTACCATGTAATTTTGTATCGAAGAAAGTTTGGATGAACAATTTTTGCTCCACTTGGCTCTGGAGCAATTGAGAACCACTTACATAATACCAACATTTACAACTCCTTTCTTTTCTTGGATGTGTTAGATAGGATGGAAATTGTTTTTGAAGAAAATGTTATCAAAACTCTTGATCATAAGCTATAAAGAGAGATACAAGGTTGTGATTCTGTCGTAAGGACAAATTCAAAATTTTAAGAAGATGAATGCACTAATATGAATAAGTAAATTTAATAGTATTCTTATAATTAATAAATCATGATATTAACAATACAATACTTTTTTAAGCTTTTTATTTCTAATATACATTATTCAATACAATTTTTATACATCATACCAAGCGACGAGAATATATAGAGTAAAAATGATAGTGGGGAATTTAGGAATGATGCTTTCATATATTTTATGGTCACGAGAATGTGGGCAGTAAACAGTTGGACTTAATAACTTATTTCTTGCCTTTACCATATATTGTACCATTCTCTCCTAAATGTTTCAAAAAGGAAAATTAGTCACCATCCTCAATAGGTGTCATATGAAAATCTTTTGTAATTTGTTTGTGTATGGCTAATTAATATAAAAAGAATTACAAGGTTTAAAAAAGGAAATGTGTTTTTCAACTTGTAAAAGCAGTTTCTTGCTCTAAATCAAAGTATATAGTTTTGTTATGATAAACTAAACTATAGTTTCTACCCTAGCTAGTTATGGTAAAACGTTGTATATAGTTTAGTGTAAATATTGAATACATCTATTTTCTGATCCCACATAGGTAAATATATCAACGATAAATGATTTTGGCATTGATGACAATATATATATATATATATATATATTGTGTTTTTGGTTTTTCTCCTTGATAGTCTCTTCTTACAAGACCTTCTCTTCCTCTTCCTAAGCCGTGACTTACGGTTTGAACACTTTCAAATTAACTAATTTATTAATTCTATGATCACAATATTTCCCTCCTCTCAAAATATCATCCTTTTCGAAAGTTAATTTAATTAATTTTTGAAATATTATATTGGATAGACTAATTTAATATTTAAAAATTAAAACTTAAATATTCAAAAACTACATGAAAAGTATCATAAGTTAAGGTTCTTAAGTTAATTTGACTAATTTAAAATTTGAAATTTAAAACTTAAATATTAAAAATCTTCCTGAAAAGTATTATAAGTTGTCGTTCTTCTTATATCAATATGACAATATTGTACCCAATATAATATCAATGCGATAATACCGTACCCAATATAATCCCACGAGTGGAGCTAGAAAGAATGGATATTTACCGACCTCAAGTTTTTGATAAATTCTAGATTCAAGAAAATCGATTCTTCAAATATTAATATAGTAAAAAATAGTGATTTGAGATGAAAGGAGTAATTTGTTAAAAGGATTTACTCATAATTTTTATAGTTATATACTTGCAAACAATGTTTAGAGTCCTACTCTTTGAAGATTTCCTTTGGTCTGCTATGTCCTTGAATTTCTATTTTTTCCCAATCAGAATAAATGATAAAGTTTGACTTCAAATTTATCGAGATTTCTACAACCAAACTATTATTTTCTTAGTTTCATTAAATACTACAACAACAATAATAACATACAAAGTATTGGTTCACAAGTGATGTTGAGCAGAGTGGAGATAGAGAGGTTGTTTTTGAAAAAGAAATGAAGCAATCACAACCATCTACCTCCCCTTCCGACCCAAACTATATATGGCTTTTCATTTACCAAGATTCAAAGTTTCAAACTACGTGAATTTTGACCAAAATTTTAAAATACATTTTTCTTATCATGTTATAATGCGACTTATAGTAGTAATTTTCATTCAAAAATTAATTAAAATTGACTATCGAAAAGTAAAAAGCCAGCAAATGGAGAAAGTAGCCCTCAAACACAATGAATTGAAACCTAAATATATGTCGCGGAGAAATCAACAATAACAATAACATACCCAAGATAGCGAAGTTGTAACAGACCTTACCCTACCTTAGAGGTACGAAAGTTGTTTTAGATAGATCCTCGATTCAAGGAAAAACAGTTCTGGGAGAAATCAGAACTAAATTAAACCAAAGAGATCCTGTGCATATTTATATACATTTGGTGTTTTCCAGCAGGCTTGTTTAGACAATCATGATTCCCATCAAGATAATAACAAACAAACCCCAACTTCAAAACACCACATTAAGCTAAGGATGTTAAACAAGAAAAAAAAAATACAAGCTAAGTAACCAAGATGGTTAATTACTAATTAGTATTTTTGCAATGATTAGAAATTTAAACTGATATATAGACTAAAACTAATGTACTATCGATAGCAGTCTGGTGCAAAAAGCATCCTGAGGAGTCGATTGATTCCACACTCGAACTTGAAGACTTATATATTGTTAAATAGAAAAAAAGGGAAAGTAGTCAGGATTACCAGCAAGTTCATCCTCATGATCAGAGGGCAATTCATTGAGATCAAAATCCACAATTCTTCCTCCATCAGCCAACAACTTTGAGCTGCTAGCAGCTGCTTCTTCACTGATTGCAGCTACATTAGAATCGTTGGAATTTTCAATTACGATTCTCAACTTATTGTGCCTTGATTTATGTCCACCAAGTGCTTGATGAGTTGCGAAGCTTTTTCCACAAGTGTTACACTTGAATTTTTCAGGCGTTGCTGCTGCTGTAACTGAAGCTGGACTATCCTGTACAGAATTCAGATGCCTCAACTTCTTCTTCCTTCTCTTCCTGTTATCAATAATCTCCATTTCAGAAACAAATTCCTCATTTTCAGCTTTGGATGTAAGAGAATTACTGTTCGTTTTCTCCAATTCTTCCAGAATATCATGTCCAGTAACACCAGACTCAATTAAATCTCCGTTGGCGAGCAGCATAAGATGATGAACAGCATCCTGCAATTGTTCGTCGTCTTCAGCATTGGTCTTTCTCCCTCGCTTAGCTGTAACTGACCATCCAGGTACAGTAGCAGAAGCTGTTTTTTTGGCTCGGATCTCATCGCTAGATTTCAAATGAGGAGGAAGAATTCCTCTCCATGCCCGTTCAGGATGAGACCTCATATGCCCAAACAACGATTTCATCGACGGAAAAATCTTACCACACACTTTACAAATTGGTACCAACTGATCATTTTCTACATCCACTTGTTCTTCTCGTGGTTTCGATTTTTCCTTTTTCGAAGACTGAACGTGAATTCTCATGTGACCTCCTAATGCTTTACCAGAACTAAATCCTTTCTTACACACACGACAAATCCTCCTCTTATTATCTTTTGGAATAATCTCATCTTCATCTTCATCTCCAAATTCCATAACATCTTTGTGATCTCCTAACACCTCCTTTTCCGAGATCTGATTTATCCATAACGTCCCCATGCCAACTTGATAATTACTGAATTAACTAGAACAAGCCAACAGACAAATTTTGTATTATAAAAAAAAAAATATGTTAGCTACGAGCTGAGAAGGAGGTAACTTAGCTGAAAAGGAAAGCCATGGCGAGAAAAAAATTCATGAGCTTCAAAAACGGAAAGATAATTACAAGTAACTAATATGAGAAAAGAGAAGAAAATGAGACGAAGAAGAAGAGGAAGAGAGGGAAGGGATTAGGAAGAGTCATTCTAAAACTGCTAATGTGTGGAAAATTGACTGTCACGTTCTCAACTGAGGCATTGACTGTGGCGTGGCGTGGCTAGGAAAAACAGATAATGTGTAATCACTTTTTTTTTCCTTTTTATTTATTTTTAGAGGTAATTATTATACTTTTAAATTTCGATTATCGTTCCGTCACTTAATTATTCATGTATATATATATTATTATGTTAAACTTGAGTTGAGGGATCTATCGATAAAACATGAATAAGGTTACATATAAAATTACCCTTACAGATTTTACTTGTGAAATTATACTGAATATATTGTTATTGTCCTTTATGTTATTACTCCATATTTTTACTGTAATATACTTCTCGAAAAAGTCCAAATGTAAGTCATTTAATTAGTAAAGTGATTAAAAAGCACATATTTTAATTAATTAAAGATTAAACATGTTGAGTATATATATTGTTTTCCTCATTTATTGGAAGTGGGAAAAAGAGATACTATAATATTGTTCTTTTAAGTATATATTTTAATATTTTCCTTTTCGGGTAATGCTAAATGACCAGAATTTGACCAGAAAATTAAAAAAGTCTATAGTATTCTTTTTATTTAAAGTTAAACTGATTTGTTTTCCATTTTTTAATTAAAATATATTAAAGTTAAAAGGGTAAAAATGTTTTAAAAGGTAAAATTAATATTTTTTTAATTTATGTAGATTATTATAGATGATTTGTTTTGTAGGGTATGTTTAGAAGGTAAATCTTTTAAGATTTTGACTACCAATCAAACCAAAAGTAAAGAGTATCCTAATCAAACGAAAACTCTTGTGAATTCAAATAATTTTGAACTTTCAAAGTGATAATTATCTTCATAGATATTCTCCCATTCATTTTACTAAAATCTCTACCCAATTAAATGTAGATTTTTGTCAAAGAGTATGAAAGTTACCAAAACTCTTTGCAAAAGTTTCTTCTTTTTTTTTTTACCGTGTGCATTTAATTTCTTACTTTGAATATGGAAAATAGTCATTTATTACCTTAATTAAGTAGTCATTTACTAGTTATGTATTTCTTTCACTCGTAGTATTTTATCCGATCATATTCATGCCTTATTCGCACCGCCCAAATCCACATATTAATGCTATATTTCAATTTTCTATATTCCCATTTGTCTCTAAATAGTTGTCATGTTTTGCTTGTCGAAAATTAATCTTTGAAATTAAATTGAATTAGATTAATACAAACTTTTAAAATTAAAGTTTAAGATATTCAAAAGATTATATAAAAAGTAACTATAAATTGCATATGGTAAAAGGATATATCTTGAAATGTTGATCGATATTCATGTAGTTTAACAATTGAAAAGTAAAAAGTGACAAGAGAACAACCTTTTGTATTTTCATCACAAATCTTCTCAACGACTTGTATTTCGTGATTTAAACTTGTAAAATTAAGGATAGAACTAAACTTTGAATCTCAAAATCTGACTACGAAATGTCATTTTAGAAAGAAAAAAAATGTGTTATTAGTATAACAACGTTTTAAATGGAGCGACATGCATGATGAAGACTTGTTTGGGACCGAATCATTAGGTATTCTATGGAGTATGGAGTACTATGTTTATCTAATTTCTTTAGAGCTTGTTTTGTTGGAAAACAAGTCATTTCATCTTTAATATAGGACAAAAATAACACTAGAATAACTTATCCCGCAATTTTATCACAATAAACTCATTCTAAAATTAATTAGCGTTTATCCATGATACCAAACGAACCCTTAAGGTATAAAGTATATTTGATTGGCTATATAGTCCAGTCAAATAACATAGTTGGAAATAATATATGGTGGTTCAAGCAAGTATTACAGAAGAAAAGGTTACTATAATTAGATAGCAAAAACAAACATTGTATTTATGGGTTCACATGTCAGTGGCCAGATTTTATTCTCCTTCTAAAGTAAATAAAAAATACCACACGTAATTCCTTAGAAGGAAAATAATACATAACTGATCAACTACCTGTAATTTACTATCTACTTTAATATTTCAATATTTTTCATACTAAAGACTAGCAATCTTATAAAAGGGCCATGGATAACAGACATGGTTAGGGCCTAGAATGATGGCACAGCCTTTTAAGGCTGTTGTAAAGGGCCAGATACCCGATCTCGGGATCACCATTTAAGTCATACATGCACCAGTTTATCAACTTCGGAACAACTCAAGACACGTGGTATTTGATGTTTCGTATGGCTGAAGTTCAGGCTTGCTTTTCTACAGGAGCTTCAATTCATGTACATACCATTTTTGCTTCAACTTCAAACAGAAATGTCTAAAGTCGTATGATAATCCAATTAGATCATTACATAGTTCATCACACACAAACAGAAATGTCTAAAGTGGTATTGTTATGAGACCCCAGGTTAAAAAACTTCAACGTGCTCACCCTTTTACAGAAGCAAAATTATCTCAACTTATGAACGAACGGATCATCTTCTATGATTACCCTTGAATACAGACTCGGCAAAATGAGAAGTAGGTATTTCAGCTATCTATAGACATCTAAAACAAACTAATCTAACTTTCAACATTGAAGGATAACGATGTTGATAATAGGGAGAGAAAAAAAAAAGAGAAAGAAAGAAACTTCTCTAACATTAGGTGGGTACAAGTTCAGCATGATCAGGAGATATCTGCATCAGAAACAGTCCAACGACAGCGGCCAACAACAACAACTGTATGAAAAAACACGAACTGTACTTACAGACTTTCTTCTGTAGCATTAGCTTTTCAGCAGTGCTTGCTAAATCTTCACAGTAACTTTCCAACTTCTTGGTTTGTGTCTTGAGCACTACAGCCTTTGCTTCGGCATCTCCAAGCACGTGCACCATCTGTGCTTGTTCTGAAGCTAATGTCTTCTGCTCTTCCAAGAGGGTAAGTTGATCCACTGCTGCACTTCTCAACTTTTGGGCTGTTGTTGATAATGCCAAATACTGAACTTCAGCTTCAATTTTCTGTCTAAAGAGAACCTCGAACTCATTTTCAATAGTCTCTTCTTCACTCTTTGAGCTACTACCTAAAATGGCTTCAAGTTCAGTAATTCTTGCTTCCTTGGATATAACCAGGTCAGCTGCCTTCTGAACCTTGTTTTGCAACAGTAATATATTCTGTTTTAGGCTAAACACTTCAGACTCCAAGGAGTTAAGAGAATGTTGAGCACCATCTCTGTTCTGTGACAGCACGGATGTGCTTGGTCTAGGGAAATTTGAGTCATCTGAAGTGAAATTTAAAGGTATACCAACATCCTCAAGCGAATGACCAAAGGTAGTATCTTTCCCAATTTCTTTGAATTTCTGAATTTCTGTGTAGAAAGCACATCAATAAAATTAGTCCCAATTGCACGGATAATAAGAAATTCCACGAGTTTTTAAGAATATTTAATGGTTTATCTGATTAAATTAAGAAGAAAGACAAGGAAAGCTCAAGGAATATGGCTTGTGAACAACCAAAAATCAATGGATATACTTATTCAGTAAACAGATCAGTAAAAGTTCTTTAAGCATAGTACAAACATACGACATAGTAAAGCTCATCCAAAAATAAGAACATTCACAGAAACGGAACTGGTCAACTACTTCAAATGATATAATATGTACTTTCCTTGTAATGTGCTTCTGATGTCAAACAGAACCAACACCGATAACCAGCAATCCTTATATGACAATGATAGGGATTACTAAACTGGGAGTGCAAGCACCTAAACATGTCCATCTAATGCTTCAAAAGCAAGAAACAAAGTTTTATTTTGACCAAGACTCTCAACCTCACATAAAATGACTTTTGCTTCTCTGTAATTTGTTCTATCTACAGCCTTGTGGGACGGGAGACGTTTGGATGGAGTGGGAGCAGGCTGAAATCCCAAAGAAGCCTCTAAAAAATAGTTCGAGGCACACAAGGCGCCAACCCTGGGAGCTAAAAGCCTATCCACCTTAACAGTACCTTGTTCGCAGAGTGGGCCTCTTTTGCTGAGAAATGGTTAGGCCTTTCTCACCCATGTGTCCCAAATGTGATGATGATGGCTCTCTTACCTGTGAGGCTAACTTACTACACTGGCAGGTCAGCTCTGAATAACAAATTCAGCAATGAGCTTAATTCTTCCATAACAAAAGGAGGTGGGATTGATATCCTGATTTTATTTTCTCACGGTCAGAAATTAAATTCTTCAAATTACAATCTCTAACACCCAAGAATATCCTATAGCAGGTATAACAGATTTTAACGTAAGGTCTGGATGCAGATAAAAGAAAGTTAAGTGCACTTGTGTGAACGGTGAGTCAGAGAAGGAAGTGGTATTAAGTCAAGACAGACACAGAAAGATAATAAGCTTATGTAGACTGTTTCCAATTAACATGAGATCGAACTTTAATGGTTTGCTAGACATGATTTAAGTTGAAAGTGGCCTCTGTATTTGTAAATACATTCTCAACAAATTCTGCTATTGCTAACAGAAATATATAAAACATCAACACCTTCAGGGGTCGTTTGGTTTGAATATGAGTTATGATGGGATAAGTTATGTTGGGATTAGTTATGATGGGATAAGTTGTCCTGGGATTATTTCTTATTGAGTGTTTGGTTGGTTATATTCAAAATAATATATATTGATAAATTTTAAGAACAAGTTGTTTGTTTACAAAATTACCCTTCACTTTATTTAAACTTTTTAAATTTTTCTTTGCGAGCTTTAGTTATTCATTTTTAAAAATAAAAATTTTATTTTATTTAACTTAAATATTTTTGTTCATGTATTCCCATGATAAGTACCATGTGTAATTAAAAATATAACTTTTTTCTTATTTAGCTTAAAAATAGAACTTCCCTCTTAAGTTTATTAAAGAGAAGAAAATTTATGAGAAATCAAAATAAAATAAACATAAGAATTAGTCAAATAAATTCATAGATAAAAATTATATTTATATAGTATAATTTTTTAATAGAAAAATATGTATAATTATCATAAAAATAAGTAGTAAATATTAGGGATAAGGGTCTGAAAAGTACCTCAAATTTGGTCGAATTTGTTGTTGCGATACTAAACTTTCATAAGGACCTATTACCTCCCTAGACTATTTAATACCGTATTTTTTACTCCCTGAACTATTTAATAGTGTATTTTAAAGGTATATATGTGTCCACGTGGACACATTACTATTTATAATTTTGCATTATTTTTTATGTCCACGTGGACAAATATATATATTTAAAATACGGTATTAAATAATCTAGGGAGGTAATAGGTCCTCATGAAAGTTTAGTATCGCAACAACAAATCCGACCAAAGTTGAGGTATTTTTCAGACCCTTATCCCTAAATATTATTATGCATGGTATTAAAAAAAATGTAAATATACATAAATGTGAAAAATGATGTATAAAAAGGATTTAAAGGGACATATTTGTCATTTAGCTATTTTATCCCGGGATAAGTTATCCTGGGATTACTATACCACCCAATATGAGGGATAACTTATCCCGGCACTAATTCATAATCCCAGGATAAGTTATCCCAAACTTCCCAACCAAACACTAAATTAAGTGCCACTAAATATTTATCCCAAGACTATTTGTACCTATCCTTCACACCAAACGACCCCTCACAGTATAATCCAAGTTATTATACCAACAAAAATTTAAAGAAACGGTAATTATAAAACACATGACATTAGGCACATAAAAGCTGTTTTCAGAAAAGAAAAGAACAACATGGTCTGAGATGCACACACATTACAGCATGATAACCAAATATAAACGATTAAATACCTCCTTGAAGAGGGGAAAGCATAGCCCATCTCCAAATGATTCTTTAGGGATATGTACATTATAAGGATTATGAATGCTACCTCCTAAAAAAAGATTCACTGACTAATAAACTTGATGTTATTGTTCCTAGATGATGCTAGCATATATTTCTTGAGTGACGCCCAAATAGGAAGTGTCAAACATAAGTACCATCCTCTAAGCATATTGATCCAACTAGAAAGACTCCACCTAGTGCAACATACAGAATATGCAAGAACAAATTTATGAGGCAAATCATGATATACATTGATATTATCATTTAAGCAGAAGTAAATTTGAAATGTTCAACAAGAACTAAGGATGTACCATTAGCAAGAGCTTCTTGAGCAGCCTGGAAATTGAAGATAGATTCCGTTAGAGGATCGTGATCAGTGGATGAACCGCGATTCTCACTCTTCTCTTCATTAACTTCCCACGGAGATTCAGCAGCTAGATCTTCTTGTGACACATTTTCAGACTCCCTATCATTCCCTCTCTCGCGACCAGCCCGAAGTTCCTCACCAATTGGTCTTTCTCTGTCCTGAGCTTCATCACTGGATTCTCCATCATAGATCATTGACCTTTCACCTTTTGTACCATTACTTGTAGCAAAGTCACCCTGCATAAAGAGAAAATTAGAGCTACGCGAGTCAGATTCCATGCTGGAATGAGAGTTTTCCTTCTCGATTTTGACCCTTTCTCCTCTAGGCTTTTTACTAGTTTCAGACCGACCTTTTCCCTGATGTGGTTTCTGAGCTGATGTGCTCAAGCTCTTCCCACTCAAACTCCTCAACCAATGCTTGTCAGATGGATAACCAGGGAGCACGGGAGCTTCATACCTTGCCTTTGGAGCACTAGCTGCCGTAGAAGACCTACTACTCCGATCCTCGCTGTTCTCTGATTCCGATACAGCATTGAAAATCGGCCCCATAGCCAAACCAGAGTCGCCTATTACACCAAATCCATCAGCCAGAACTCCAGGATTCATGAATACTGCATTCGTAGATGAAACAGATCCATCACTTTTTTGGATCCTTCCCGCAGAAAAGCTTACAGGTTTTTCCGCATTAGCAACCTCACTCGCCAAACCCCGTTTCAACAGCTTACCACTGTTTACACTGCTATCCCCATCCTGGCGTTGCGCATCCCGCTTCATCCTTTTCCATTTCTTTAACCCAAACCCCTTAGTTGTTGGAGAGGATTTCACCAGGGGGTTGAATAATCCTCAACCCCCTTAATTTCAATTCCCTTGCCTTTTACATCATCCAAATTATTATTACTACTATTATCCCCAGGAGGACTAGACCCATTACTACTTTCTACCTTGCTTTGATTACCATTTTCAAATCTTGGCGGTTTGATCATTTCTTCATTATCCTGGACCGATTTACTAGCTGAATTTTGTTCTTCCAAGTCCATAACTAGAGACAAATATATATTTAATTAAACCTTTTTTACGAACCCAGATCAAGATCGAGAACAACCACCATCATTCCAGCTGACGGAGAACAATTCAAACAAAATTTCTCGACAAAATCAATTATGATTGCTTCGACAATTTGCAGCTTGAAAAATCATCATATTGAACAAAATTGAATTCGTTCATTGTAAAAACTTGTACTGCAGATGCGAAAAATTAGGAAATGGAGAAGCAATTAAGTAACTGGGCGTACCTTTTCATTCATTATTGTGCTGGATTTCCAAGAGATTTTGATGAATTCGAATAGAATTGGGATTATGGAAACCCTAGAATTCGGAACGAATTTGGGAAATTATTAGCCGCCTGAACTGTTACAACTATCTTTATTGTTTTTATTTTTAGCATATTAACTATTCCCTCTTTCCCATTACTAGGCCAATTTGTATATTATCTCCGTCGATTCGAATTCGTTTTGAAAAGTCTCACTTTTAGAAATAAAACAACTCTCTTCAAATGCATTTTCATAAACCACATTTCATTCCGAGATTTATGATAAAATGAGTAAATACTTATTATTCTATTGTAATTTTTAATAACGAATATATTATAAATACTAAACAAGTTACAATATTCAACTATAACATTCAATTCAATAGTCTAGATACATGTGGAAACTTCAAATATATGATGTTACGAAATAAGTTTATTTAAATCATATCATAATAAAAAAAGATATTTTCTAAATAGCATTTACGATCTTAATTATTTCCACGTATTGAGAAAACTTATAATATGGTTTTAAAGTCAAATACTAAAAATTAATAGAACAATTTCTATAATACTTTAAAATCCAAAGGTCTCGATGATTTATTTTATTTTTTCATTGTAGAGGAAACTAATGAAGTGCCATCCACGATGATGAAAGAGGAAAACATTATGATACTTGTAAATTTAATTGTTGATTACCAATAATTTGGACTAATCCAAAAGGCTTTGACAAATATCCTTATTTAAATGATTCATTCCTATTCTTAAAAGTTGAACAAATATAGCCTTAGAAAATTACTCTTTCGAATAACGTTAAGCTCAGATCTAGCGTTTGTATATATATTATTTAATTTTATAATTAAATTTAAACTATCGAACGTCTCACATTTGTGATAATTTGCAAAAGTTTATATTGTAATCTAATATTTCTCATATATTTTCAATTTCTTCAAAATTAATTTTTAATTACGATCTAAAATGTCCATAAATTATAAGAGAAATAAAAGAAGGTCATTTTTTAAAGGGAAAATTGTATATAATAGCAAACTATTAATTCAAATTCAATGCTATAACCATAGTTTGATTTAATTGTACCCCATAACAAATTGTTGCTATTTTCGCCTCTCTCCTAGTGAATCTCGCTTGCTACTCTCGTTCTCGCTGGCAGTCTCCCTCGCCTCTCTCGCTTTTATACAAACACAAATGTATAAAATGTGTTTGCGTTTGTATAAAGCGAGAGAAAATTGTATATGTACATATATTTTCGTTCCCTTCTCTCCCCTCTCCCAGATCTCACTCGCCTCTCTCACTTTATACAAAACACAAATGTATACATTGCGTTTGTGTTTGTATAAAGCGAGAGAAAATTGTATATACAAATACAAATGCATATATTTTCGTCTTATACACTTATGATTATACAAATATGATCTTCCCCTGCCTAGTTTTCTTTTGTCTTTCTCTCTTTATACAAACACAAATTATACAATTGATCTTTTGTATATGTATACCGAAACAGAAACAGAAACAAATTATACAACTGTTTTCTTTTGTATATGTATAGCGAAATATACATATTTATGTTTGCTATGGAGCGCAATTATGCAAACTATAGCTATAACATACAAATATGATTTTTATGTTTGCTATATGTGAAAGTTGCTCTTTTTTAAATAGTTGTCTAGGAAAAAGACAGCCCGTGAAAACTTTACCATTCTTCTTCCCCAGCCCAACAAGTCATTGTTTTGGGCCATATATAGGTCATCTTTATTTTTTAAGTAAAAAGAAAATGAAAATGATAACTTTTATTAATTAAAAAAAAAAAACTATGTATATGATTTAACTGTTCTGACTTCTGGGGTATTAAATTTTATGTTGTTTTAAACGAAAATAAGAAAATCATAAATGATGAATGTAGAAACGGAGCTAGAATTGTGCATCATTGACTTGCGTTTATTAAGAAGATAATTTTTCTGGTGTAACATTCATTTCCATCGACAACTCAAAGATTAAAGGGTGAAGATTAATTATCATGTATAGTTAAATTTATTCATTTCATTTTCAAGAAATATCTATTTATTATGATATATAGTTAAATTTATCATCATTAGCCCGATATATAATATGAACGTAACATATGTGGATACATTCTGATTTGTGAAGTCCAACAAGCATGTTTTGATGGACTTGCTTTTTGTCATAATCAATTTGCACTTTGTATTTTTAGTATAGTATGTGTATATTAATGCTATGTGACATGACTATACATAACCATATATAGAATTCAAAGTTATCATAAAATTACTAAATTTCACGACTATACTAAATTATTATTTTCAAATGAAAATGACAAAGAGAGAAATAAATACAGTTGTTATAGCAATATTGTTTGTCTAAATAATTTTGTTTGTAATTGCAAAACAATGTTATATATTATTATTTTTTTTAAAAACACAAACTTTAACCGGTATAATAAAAAATATATGAGTATATATGTGTAAATTTCTCCTCTTCTTCTTGTTACTTTTTATATTTTGGGGAAGTGAAAAGATCAATATACAAATTTGTGGATAAACTTGTTACATTTAAAGTAGACAGTCCAAAATAAAAAAAAAATAAAAAATGACAGCTGTACCAAGACATTTAAATGTGCTTTAATTGGTTCAATGAATTTAGTTGCAAAAAAGGAACACATCATTATTCAAGTATTTCAATCCAAATCATTTACTCCCTCCGTCCACAATTGTTTGTCAGGGTAAGGTCATGCACATCCTTCAAGGAAAATTTAATACAAAGTGTAATTTGACTAATATAACCCTACAATACCAAGAATACCAAAAGTCCACATAACTTTTCAATTAAACTACACTATCATTAAGGGCAAAATTGGAAAAAAGTGACTAATTATTTTTTGATTGTTTAAATTGACAATTAATCTTAGACATCTATTTTTAGTATACCTGCCAACAATTGTGGACGGAGGGAGTAGTTCCAATCAATCTAAAATTATATATATGTCTTGTAGTGGAGAGACAATTTATACTTTGCCATCCAATTAAATTCCAATAAAATGGGGATTCCATTTCCAATAATATTAAAAATAAAATTATGCCCTAGTTGAATAAATTAAATGGTTAATGCATGTTTACATATTCCAATTCCTTATATTTAATTAAGTGTGACCACGTACTAAAGAGTTCTTCTTTTGTTTAGCTTCTCTTTTAAGAGGTTAGCTTGAATAAATGCGTTTGATCATGACTTTTTTTTTAATTGTAACTTTTTTTATAGATAATATATAAAAGGAGACGTGTTAAGCGTAATATTCAAATACTTAAAAAAATATTAATTCATCACTTAATTGCATTCAACTTTATACAAAGACGTCTCTAACACAATTTTGTCGAGTTTAATTTGAATTGTACACCACTTTTATTTTAACGAGTAGCTTTTTTTCATGTCTATTTAGTTAATGAAACATTAATCATAATCAGAATCCGTCGAAGGGATAAAACAAAATAAAGAAACGAACCATTCAAAAAATAAATGTTATTTTTCTGTGGCATTAAAAATGAATGCAATTATTAGGCTGCAACTTCAATATTGTTAACACATAAAATATACTATTGGCTATTGCAGATTTTTTTTTTAATGATTCCATAATTACTAGAGAAAAAAAATTAAGTTCAGATGTTTATTAAATTCCAACACCAATTAAGAAGTATTTGTGTGCACATGGAACAGACAAGTTGTAAGAACTAGAAATACTAAAATGACAGATCTTCATAAAACTTTTCATAAATCATAATAACATCATAATTATTACAAATAATTTACTTAATCGAAAGTCAAAATAAAATTAACCCAAGAAAAAAAGAAATTAACTCAAAATTAAAGCTTCCAAATTAACTTGCCGACAGAACTTCAACTAGAGGGGTTACTGTTTAAGTCAAAGTAGTTTTCTGAATCGTAACTCAGAAATTTCCAAGTGTAGTAGCATATTCTTCGAAATTCGATGGATAATAAATCCGTCTCTTTTTTTTTTTTTTTTATAAGAACCGAACATATAGGGTGTATCTAGCTCATACATACGAAAATTTTACAAAAAAAAAATAGTGGCGTCAAGCGTGTAAAATCTTAAAATTTGATGAATAATAAGCTCGTCTCTCTACCATGCTCCGGTTTAGTAGCAACCTTTTGTTTGTGATAAATTCAGTAACGTGCATCTAACTCAGACATTACCATTAAACTAAAATGGCAGGCCCCATCATCATACTCTAGCATCTTGTAAAAGGGGGAAAACTTTTATATTACAGAAAAGGTGGAATCCCTTGGTATAACCTAACTATAAGGGCTCGTTTGGTGTGAGGGATTAGAAATAATAGTGATGGGATAAGGAAATAGTGATGGGATAAAAAAAAAATTATGTTGTTTGGTTGGCAAGTCCGGGATAACTTATCCCGGGATTAATAATTAGTACCGGGATAAGTTATCCCTCCCCATGGGTGGTATAGTAATCCCGGGATAACTTATCCCGAGATAGAATAGGTAAATGACAAATATGTCCCTTTAAATCCTTTTTATATATCATTTTTTACATTTATGTATATTTACATTTTTTTTAATACCATGTATAATAATATTTACTACTCCTTATTTTTATGATAATTATACATATTTTTCTATTAAAAAATTATACTATATAAATATAATTTTTATTTATGAATTTATTTGACTAATTCTTATGTTTATTTTATTTTGATTTCTCATAAATTTTCTTCTCTTTAATAAACTTAAGAGGAAAGTTCTATTTTTAAGCTAAATAAGAAAAAAGTTATATTTTTAAATACACATGGTACTTATCATGGGAATACATAAACAAAAATATTTAAGTTAAAAAAAATAAAAGTTTTATTTTAAAAAATGAATAACTAAAGCTCACAAAGAAAAATTTAAAAAGTTTAAATAAAGTGAAGGGTAATTTTGTAAACAAACAACTTGTTCTTAAAATTTATCAATATATATTATTTTGAATATAACAAACCAAACACTCAATAAGAAATAATCCCAGGACAACTTATCCCATCATAACTAATCCCAACATAACTTATCCCAACATAACTTATCCCATCATAACTCATATTCAAACCAAACGACCCCTAAATTTTCCTTTTTGAAGGCCAACTAGTAACAAGGGCCCATGATGAATCTATTGTTATCCTATTCTTTCCTTATTATAGTGCATGCATATTCTTGAATAATATCCTTTTCAATTACTCTATTATTTACTTCTTCCGTCTCAAAATAAATATCGCTTTGTTACTAGTCCTTTTAACAAAATAAGTGAACATGGAATGAAATGAGAAACACTAATATAAATACACACATATTGAGACAATGAGCTTTCAAATTATTGATGATTTTAGTGCTCAATGTTGGACTGGTCTTTGGTCCAATTCCCATAGCAAATAATGAAAATAGTGTCAGATATGAATAGAGAGTAGCAAACCTGCATTCAAACAGCAATATTTGGTTGTATTCACTCAAAAGAGGCATTTCTTGTTTTGAATCTTTTAAAATTTTATATTCAAATATCTTTTTGGACATTGACATAAATTTCAAAAATTAATTTTCAAATTTCGACTTCAAAATTTATAATCAAACGAAAGTATAGTGCCTCATTGCCACCAAGGTTACACACCTCTTTGGTTACTCTCCCAAAGCCTTTTTTTCCCTTCTCTGTATTCATTCTGACCAATCTTTGGACTCTGTGACAGAGTGAAAATTATATACTAATGTACATAAATATTGCTTTTACTAAGTTCAAATATGCAATCTTACAACATATAAAACAAAAAGAATGGGTAACCCCAAGATAAAAGTATTAAACTAAGCATATAAAATATTACACCACTTAACCACTAACAATCTGCAGCTTCTTTTGAGAGCAATTTCTTACAATATTTTATGTTCAAAAACCTCACAGATCCAACTCATATACTAGATTCCCCTTCTGTAAAAGCTAGAGGGGTCATGGAGACTCAAATCAAATGATGTTTTTCTTCTTGGCTTCAAATGAACCAAATCAAGGTAAAGTAAACAAAAAACAGTTTGTTTTTTTTTAACTTCTTCTTTTGCCTCTTGAGAGGAGCTAATATGTGTTACATGGATCAAATTAGGTAAAGACTTTCTTGTTTTCAATGTAGATGTATCCTTTTAGCCTACTCTTATTCAAGTTTTTCTGAGTTCTGACTTAAGGAGGCCCACAGTTATATGATATTCACATGTATGCTTTCAAAAGTCTTTACTGTTGTATTCATCTGATTCTTGAAAAAAGAGAGTTTTGATCCCAACCCCACAAATTAAATTGCTACTGACTAAACACCATATCAAGAATCCAGGATTAAGATTAGTTTTTTTTTCCTACTGAAATATAGCATTTTGTTACCTTTATTGAGAATGGATGAAGAGGAAATTCCTGTTGTTGATACTCAATCCCTTACCATCAAGATTGCAAATTCAGGTCAGCAAAAACTGACAGCAACATCATCTCCATATAACTCACCTTCTCTCATTTCTCCTCCATCTTCTGCATTTGTTTCAGCATTACAATCACCTTACATTTCTCCAAGAGCCACTTTAGTTACAAATCCAACTCAAGAAAATCAAGAAACTCTCATTGCTTCTCTTACCTCAGTTGTCCATCCATCCCCACCAGTCTCATACTGCGGTTCGCAATCTGATGATGTTCCCAGCACCTCCTACACTCCACCACCAGAAAGATATGATTTTTCTGATGATCCTACAGACACAAAGCTCAAGATTGTCACCTGTGTCCCAGTTTCAGGACCGGAAACCGATCCCAGGATATCATTTTCTTTCCCTGTCCCTCGAATTTCGTTTGCCAAGGGATCCGTTTCACCGGCTTCCAATGTTAAACTTAGGAGCTGTGATGTGTATATAGGATTCCATGGTCAGAACCCGAATTTAGTACGCTTCTGTAAGTGGCTCAAATCAGAACTTGAGCTTCAGGGAATTGCTTGTTTTATTGCTGATAGAGCAAAGTATGCAGATAATCAGAGCCATGAGATTGCTGACAGAGTTATATGCTCAGTAACCTTTGGTGTCATAGTTGTCACTGGTTGTAGCTTTTTCAACCATCTTAGCTTGGAGGAAATAAGATTCTTCGCGCAAAAGAAGAACTTGATTCCTTTGTTCTTTAACACGGATGCCAATGATATTGCAAGTCTTTCTAACCGTAATGGTGATACCAAGAAATGTAAAGAGGCTCTGGATGTAATACTAAAGTGCCATGAGTTTAGATTGGAGACAGATGAGAGTAATTGGAGATCTTGTGTGTCGAAAGCAGCTGGGATATTAAGGGCCAAGCTTGGTAGGAAAAGTGTTGTAGAAAAGTGTACAGAAGGCTTTGAAGAGTTGCCCTTTCCAAGGAATAAAAGTTTTGTAGGAAGAGAGAAGGAAATTATCGAAATAGAGACGACTCTTTTTGGCTGTGGTGATTCTTTCGAGCAAGAAAGTGCTGTCCCGAGTGTCAAAGGAGGAACACCAGGACAATCTGAAGGTCTGGCTGATGATGAAAGTGAAGCTGATGTTGGCAGAGGCAAATACATAAATCTAGAGCTAGGAAAGAACAAGGAAACAAATAAAGAAGCTTGGGTTGAACGAAATTCGCTGAAGAGATCCAAGTACAAAAAATCAAGAAGTGGGAAGGATAAGAATTTGAGTATGAGTGCTGTATGCATAAATGGGTTGGCTGGTGTTGGAAAGACGGACCTCGCTTTGGAATTCGCTTACAGGTATTCACAGAGATACAAGATGGTCTTGTGGGTAGGGGGTGAAGCTCGCTATTTTCGACAGAACATATTGAACTTGTCTCTAAATTTGGGACTGGATGTGAGTGCAGATGCAGAGAAGGAAAGAGGGAGGATAAGGAGTTTTGATGAGCAAGAATCGGAAGCATTCAAGAGAGTTAAAAGGGAGATGTTCCGTGACATGCCATATTTACTAATTATAGACAATTTAGAGACTGAGAAGGAGTGGTGGGAAGGGAAGGATCTTCATGATTTGATACCAACTAACACTGGTGGTACCCATGTAATTATCACAACACAACTCAACCGGGTAATGAACTTTGATCCGTTGCAGCTGCAGCCATTGACCACACCTGATGCCATGATATTGATAAGGGGAAGACGTAAAAAGGAGTATCCGGCTGGTGAGGTAGAATTCCTCCATAAATTTGATGAGAAATTGGGAAGGTCTAGTTTTGGTCTGTGGGTGGTTGGTTCCTTGCTATCGGAGCTTGCAATATTGCCCTCTGCTCTATTCGAAGCTGTGAATCAGGTTCCAGTTGAAGAAACCACAAGTTGCTCTAATCTATCCATTCCACATCAACAATTCTGTAGAACCAATCCATTTTTAATGAAAACATTGATTTTTTGTACAACCCTCTTGCAGCAAAGCAGCGATAGCAGGGACTCCGTTGCTTCAAGAATGCTTCAGGTAGGGGCATGGTTTGCTCCAGCACCCATCTCGGTGAATTTACTGGCAGCAGCTGCAAAGAAAATTCCTGTAAACACAAACAGGTTCAAAAAGTGGACTAAATGTATGAAAGTTGCTCTATGCTTCTACTCAGGTCACTGCCTCACAAGCCAAGCATGGAAGAGCGAAGAGGAATCAGCACTGCTACTAGTTAAACTTGGTTTGGCACGAAAAGCAAACAGGCAAACAGGATGCTGGATCCAATTCCATCCCATCACACAGATTTTTGCGAAAAGGAAAGATGGACTAGTTGCTGCTAAAGCCAATGTTCAAGGTGCAAGGAAACTTGGAAACCCGGTAACAGATTCTGACCATCTTTGGGCATGTGCTTTCCTTGTGTTTGGTTTCAAGTCCGAACCACCAGTTGTTCAGCTCAAGGCGATGGACATGGTTTTTTTCATCAGAAAAAACAGCTCTTCCTTTAGCAATCAGTGCCTTCACAACATTCTCAAGATGCAACTCGGCCTTAGAACTCTTGAAGGTCTGCACAAATGTGCTCGAAGAAGCAGAGAAGTCATTTGTTTCTCAAATACAGGATTGGTGCCATGGATCTCTCTGCTGGAAAAAGAAGCTTCAATCTAACCAAAGAGTGGACGAGTATGTTTGGCAAGAGGTGACATTATTGAAAGCTACCCTACTGGAAACTAGAGCAAAGCTGCTACTAAGAGGAGGTCATTTCGATAGCGGAGAGGATCTTTGCAGAACCTGCATTAGTATCCGAACCGTAATGTTGGGTCATAACCATGCTCAAACTTTGGCTGCTCAACAAACATTAGCCAAATTAGTAAGGATGAGGAGCAAAATATGAGCCCAAAACTCCTCAAAAAACCACCTTTTTTGGTGGCTCAGTTTTGTTTACTGTCACCAAGCAATTCACTCTTTAGTTCATGTAACATAGAAATCATCCATTATCAAGTACTTTTTACCACATCAGTTCAACTTATACGAAATGCATATCGATTTCAGCAATTTATTCATTTTGTTAAGCAAATTTAAGTATCTAACCAACTACCACATGATCAACCTACAACAATTGCAGTATCTTTCCTGCCAGATAGACAGAACAGACATGCTGTGCACTACATTGTATATCTAGTACTATTTCTCTAGTTGGATGAACCATGTCCCATGGCATTTGGTTCATTCATTTACTACACACCAATTCTTCCTCATTAAACCATTAAAAAGATTGTCTTTTTAACTTATCTCACAATCAAGAAAAGCTTATCTTGGAAGAATAAGGCAAACCAGTCATCCAAAAAAAAAATTATCTTCAAGTTTAGTTTCTCAGTTCATCAGAGGAGAAACAACGCGAATTCGAACAAATTCATTGAAACAATTGTCAAAGAAGGAACAAGATCAGTAACAACAGGTTTTCCTGTAAACTTTTGGAACCAGCAACATCTCTTCCTTACATACAAAAACCAAAACACTCAGTAAATTCACTCTCACAATCAACAACAACTACATACCCAGTATAGTCCCACAAGTGAGCATGAACTTATCCGGATTAAAAAAATCAACAGCCAACCAAAAAAATCAAATCTTTTAGCATCTTCTTTCTTTAATTCAGTAATTCACACAACTCTCAATCAACAAAAACACAAAAAAAACTAAAGAAGAATCAGATAATGTTGGTGAGTCAGTGTAATGATCAAGATGATCCTCTTTCAGCATTTGAAATCAATCCAGTAGAAACGGCATCGTCTTCATCAACAAACAATCCTTCTGGATTCCTCAAACCTCCATGAATCACTGATAACAAAACACCCATCATTATACCAATCATCAAACTGTTTAAAATTCCGGTATACCAAACAACAATTGCAGAAACAGTCGCTAGACCGGAAATCACAGCTAGATCGCTAACTTGATGCCCTAGAACGACCATAGGATCCTCCCGGAAGAAGAGAAAAATCAACCACGACGCAAAAATCAAACAGGCGAAAATCAATAAAATTGGTGTTCCGATGAGTGAACAAGCTGCGCAACCAGAGATGAAAATGACATAGTTAACGGAGAAGTACTTGAAGTTCCTACGGACGCGAATTGCAGCATCGGAGAAGGATGTCGGAATGTCAACGGCGCTTGCTCCGGCGATAAATTCCGGCCATGGTCGACTTCGGGAAAGGAAGGTGTAGAGATTCTGAACGGACCGGTTGATGACATCACCGGCGGCGATCGGGATGGTGGTGTAGGTGGCGGTGGTGACGGAGGTGGGTGGAGATGGCATATTTGTGAATTGTGTTAAAAGTTTGACCAAAGTGTTATGACCAATACACTATAAGTATTCATGTCTGCATCTCGTGATGTGTCAGTTTAAAAGACGCCAATTTCGCATTTTGATAATAAACAATAATAATGCTAAGGTTTGAATAACTGCATCAATGTGTCTGGTATAATTTCATAAGTGAGTCTGAAAAAAAAATATATATGCATATAGTCGTTAGTTTTGTGAAAGTAGAAAGTTATTTTCAAGTAATTTATATAAAAACAAATAATGTAAAAAACAACAATAATAATGTCAGCAACCGAAAACAATAAAATGAAGTCAATAAAACATCAAGTAATACTAAAATTGAAGAATAAGATAATTAGAAAGTAATACTGAAGAATTGACTAGAAAACGCTAGATGTAATCTTATTTAAGGTCATATCTTCGATAAGCATAGGTGCCACATGTCATTATTTTTGTAATGTTTTGACTTTATTTATGCTTATAAGATGTGATTGGTAAAAATCCAAACACGTTGTGTCAATAATTGGGCTTTAGCCCTAAGTTCTTAACCTCATTTCACAATATGAGCTCAAGAGTAAAATTGGACTTGCTTCATTTATGTAAGATGGGCCTGGGGATGCCCATATATAAACCCAAATATTATGGGCTACCTCCTAAATAATCGAAATTTTGCACAAATATAACACTATATTATTGTTACTATTTAAATTTTGTCATTGTTGAATAAACTTATATAAAAATGATCTCCACGCTACAATTTATGCATATTTTGTCAATCTGGCAAGACTTGTAAGTAATTTAACAAGATATAAGAATAATATTTAACATTTTGTATGAAATCCAACACTGATTTATTAATATACGTAGATATCACAATTTGAGTAAATTCTTTTATTTTGCCTTCTAACTTTATAAAGTAGTTTATCTCTAACTCACCTTCAAGAAATTTTTCAACCAATATCTATTTATACTTTGTTTTATTAGTTTAAATATTTTTCAATTATATTTAATTGCCACGGTCCGTATTGACTAATGTAAATTTGAAATTTGTAGTTATTACAAATGTTATATAAGTTATATGATTATATTCATAAGAAATCAATAAAAATAACAATTTTTTTCTTTCTCTACTTCCTCTCTTTTCCCTAATTCCTCCTATAATTTAGACAAATTTAATCAATTAATGTAACATGAACAAAATTTAAATAGTAATCTTAAAAATGGTCATTTATGAAACTATTATTTAAATTCGTCGTTAGAGACCCCGAGGAATTAGGTAGTCCCACATTTGCCAAACTTACCCACTGGATGATAAAGAATGGAAGAAAACTTTTTGTGGTTTTTAATTACAACTAGAATATAATTTATTTATTTATGGATGGTTAGGCAAATGAGCGACATCTTATAATGAATATTTGGTTTGTTTTAATTTATCTGTCTTATTTTAGTTTATACGAAGTTTAAAAAAAATAAAAAAATTTAATCGTGTGGTCATAAACTAAAGATATGTCAAATATATCAAAATGTCCTTTAATTATATGATCATAAACAGATCATGCGGAAAGTTAGAACTACATAGTGTCTTCAAAAAGAAAAAGACATCCTTTTTGAAATAAACTAAAAAAAAATATCAAACAAATTAAAATATTTTTGACAAAAATACTTTGTTTTTTTCCCTTAGAAATATATACCAATTGGGAGGAAAAGAGAGAGAAAAAAAGAACTAGGGTGGAAAAAATAGGATCGGGTAAGGAGAAAAGGCAGCCTTAATGCTATGACTATAAGTAAAGTAAAATAAAAATGTATAGCTTAAAGTTTTAGAGGAATTGAACATACATTTTAATAATATGATAATAGATAAAAGTTTTGAAATTAAATTTTATAATCACTTATTATCAAAAAGAATTTTAATATGTTTTAAAAATTAAGTGCTCAAGGTCATGATAAATTTAAGTCAAAGATACAGGACACACCAAATAATGTTGTAATTATTTAATATTAGTTAATGAAAGTAGGTATAGCATATTATAATTCTAACAAAATATACATGTCCATTCAAGTGGTGTCATCACACAAGACTAGAATCTCTAGATAGACACAATATTCTTCTTACTCAACCAATTTTGTGGATAGAGAGAAATATTTTGAATTTGATCAACGGCACAATTTGAATTTGTTATCTATAGATCAAACATAGATAACTTTATGATTTCTTCCGAGGAAATCCATATATTCAATATATAATAAGTCATAATGCAACTATCATTGTAACTATCTTGTTAGCTTTCAACCAAAAGCTAACAAGATTTTTAGTTACATATTTATTATTTAGTTAAATAATAAATATGTCATTGTATGAGCTATTTATTACTCATTCCTTTTGATTTTGTTAAATTTTGATCTGACACATAGTTTACGAAAGTAAATTAGATTTTGAGAAAAAACATTAAGTGATACTTTAAGTTGTCCCAGATTTTCAAAAAGACACCTTAACTTTGCGTGCGTCCTATTACCCCCACAAAACATTCAAAATCACAATAAATACACATTTTTTACACAATATTTCCACTTTGGACAAAAATATCCTTCGAATGTGCAATTTCTTAAAAACAAAAAGTCGGAATTGATGTATTGAAGGATGCTTTGGTAATTTCCTATGATATATTCGTTTTGTTTGTTTCTTTTAAATTTATTTTACTATACTAAATAATTCTATAAAATATTATGAATCATGATAATTAATTACTTAAATATTTTAAAGATATAAAAATATAATCTGATTGACTCTTCAAATTTTATCAGTGACACATAAATTGGGACAAATGAAATAATATATATTATTTGAAAATTTCTTAGAAAGTACTATAAATTACAGTAATTAACAATTAGAAATATTTCAAAAACAAAAAAAATTGATTGAATCTCAAAAAAATTTTAGTACTACATAAATTGAGAAAGAAGAAATGACCTCTATTATTTGAAAATGACGTAAAAGTATTACAAATCATACAATAAAAATTAACAATTTAAAATTTTAAAAGACTTTAATGCTTTATACTTATTCTATTTCCACTTTGGACAAAAATATCCTCCCAATATGCATATTTTTTTAAACAAAAAGTGGGACCCATTATTGATGTATTCAAGGATGCTTTGGTAATTTTCCTATGATGAATTCGTTTTGTTTATTGTTTAATTTTTTTAAAATAATTGTATAAAATATTATAAATCACAATAATTATTTACTTAAACATTCAAAAGATATAAAAATATGTAAAAGATCTTATTAACTCTTCAAATTTTATCGGTGACACATAAATTGGACAAATGAAATAATATATATTATTTGAAAATTACTTAGAAAGTACAATAATTTACAGTAATTAACAATAGAATATTTTAAAGACAAAAAAATTGATTGAATCTCCAAATTTTATTAGTACCACATAAATTGAGAAAAAAGAAATAACCTTTATTATTTCAAAATTGCGTAAAAGATATTATAAATCATACTACAATAATTACCAATTTAGAATGTTAAAGACATACAAATTTTTTTACCATAGTTAACAATAATTAAAAATTTAAACTATTTTAAATTAATATTAAAGTTTGATTAACTCTTTAATTTTGTCTTTGTCACATAAATTGAAACAAAAAATGATACATATTGGTCTGTGCTAGCACAAGCTCCGATGTCTAGTATGTTAATAAGGTTGAAAGAAAACATTATTAAATTCTGTTATGGACTAGAGGCATTAGAAGTGAAGACAAAGGGATGACGAACATCACCATGCAAAATATACCAAGCATATATATTTTTCTATGAACATATCTTCGGATTAACGTGGATTAATTTTATGGAATATATATTTGTTATTAATTTTCTACTAATACAAATATTAGATAACTTCACTTATCAAAACTTGAACACGATTTAAAAAAACACAACTAACCTGAGTGTATTTTGCATATACATATATAGGGTTTGACCTTAATTAAAATACGATTGGTTAAATCCTCCACTACTCTAGACACTAAGAATTGTTTCTACTTATTTAATATATCATATATTATACAAAGAAAAAAAAAATTATAAACATTTGTTCAGTGGGGAATGAGATCAATTCAGGCTGTAAGTGCATATATGTCATTATATACTGGATAATTAAATCAATATAGTCAACCTTCAGTAATAAATATAATATAATACTACTGTTATGTTAGATGATTAAGAAAACATCACCCAAAGTCTCAATCAACACAAAGTTACAGTTCCAAGATGAAGTTTTTGGTTTTCAATTTGATTAACTAAATTAAAAAAAAGGGAAAAAGGATAAATATATTCTCGAACTATCGTAAATGGTATACCCTCCGTCATACTTTTGGGACATTGATGCCCCTGCCGTCCAAAAATTAGAACATATATACCTTTTATACTAACAGACATACACGTGTCACAATCTTATCCATCGATCCGACATTTATCAACGGATAAGATTGTGCCACGTGTCCCTATTTAGTCTTCCTTTAGAGTGAAGGGTATATATGCTCTAGTTTTTGGACGGCAGGGGCACCAATGTTCCAAAAGTATGATGGAGGGTATCTGCATACCATTTACAATAGTTCGAGGGTATATTTATCTTTTTTCCCTTAAAAAATGACGTTATTGAAGAAAATACTAAAAACAAATTTCATATATATCATGTTGTTTGTCTCCCTCCACCTCCACCCCCCACTAGCCAACTTGCCCCCAACCCCCTCACCCCGTCCTCTCCCCGCCCCAACTCACCCCACCTCCTCCACTCTCATATGATATTTATGTCCTTTAATTTTGGTGTATGTATAAATAGATGCTTAAATGTGTACATGTCTTAAATGATAATTTGCATTCTACATGCACGCAGGACACATGTGTCTGTTTGTTCAATTTTATATAAGTTCAAGTGTTTATATATCCACATTCAAAGTTGGACAATATAACGTCTATTAAAGTCAAGTTAAAAAATATATTTATGTATTATAAATCACCGGATCTTCATATATTATTATTATTATTGGTATAGTGGGACCTATGTTTTCCACCCAAAAACATGTAACACTAGTCATCTGTTTTGTCTTTTTTTTCCATCTTTTGTTTTACTTTTGACTAAGTGTGTAAAGGGACAACCACAAGTTTGGTCGTACACACTAACATAATTTTCTAGCAATTTTGTAACGGCTATTTTTCTTGCTTGCTACCTACATATATTATTATGTCCATTTCATATCCAACAAACCCTACGTACGTAACTTAGGACTTTTCCCACAAATTTGGATTATTATGATTCTTCTACTAGTTAATATTATTTTCATCATACCAATATTATAAACAACACCAAATATATTTTCTTACACCAATGGAGAATTAGTTTTATAAATCACTTGTAATTTTTGCATACTATAAGTATGATCAAGAGATCTTAATTCATTGAAAATCAAAGAAATGATTATATGTGATAGACCCTTATAAAAACCCTTGTAGTAGCTTTGGGATTTTGTTGGAACCCTTTAATTTCTCATATTAGTAGTAAAAATTACAAATACTATTACTTGACATTCAATTTGCGTATAAGTAATGGATTCATATGAAGCTGTCTTTTCAACACGAGATATAGTAATGTATGATAGATTCAATCGTAAGAATCTAAAGATTGAAGACATTAAATCGTGAGACCGTATTTGTATATTACCATCTTATAAGAAATTGAAAAAGACATAAAGGAGCGTCTATGAGTTTAACTTTTTTCCCTGCATGCAATAATACAAATGCACCCAGCACACGTACACCACTGCAGCAACAACAACAACAAAGGTCTATTATGTTTCCCCCACCCCCACCCCACCACCCTCTTCTAGCAATAGTTTTACCTGTATAACTCGAATTTTTCAAAAATGTTGTCGTTTTTAAAGAGTCTGACTCACCCAACGATCATTTTTGAAGAGTCCAAGCTACACAACGGTTAACCATCTCATACTCTCTCTTTTGTTACCACATGAAATATAGAGATATCACTAAACATGTTGTGATCTAAAAGTATAGATATTTGATGATGAAAATAGAAGACATATATTATGTTGTTTCACCATCAAACGTGCAAATGCTGAGTGAAGTGAATGCAGGTCACATCAAGATTATATATATTGCCATGCAAGGAAACTTATATATATATATATATATATATATATATATGAGGCTGCTGTCATTCCACTACTCCCACCACTGACTCATTTACAACCTGTAATGTTCTAATTGATCTTTCCATTCAACTAGACAATAATCCAATCCGTCAGTGGCAAAATCAGAAATTTCGCTAAAATGATCAAGGTTTAATATTATAGAAGCTAATTTTTAAATTCTATATAGAGTATAAAGGGTGTTCAACTAACCACCCTTCACTTAATTAAGTGGTTGCGTCAAGCCAACAATAGTTCTACCACCCTGATTGTTGCTCGAACTCTTCAATAATGCCAACGGATGGATATCAGACCCTTTAAACATACACATTATTTAAGAATCCAACATGAGTGGGGCAATATTTTAAATGAGGCTGAGCAGTACAGCTAAAAGAGCATCATTAGTATATGACCATTATATTAGAAGCAAAGAGAAGTTGAGAAGAAACCAATTTGGAAGTTCATATCCTTTGGAACAACTCATTATTTGAAGACTTTTTATACATTAGACACTCCAGAGAACTTTCAACAGGCTTCAGTAAGCTTTATATATATATATCTATGGAACTTCCAGTACTGTTTTGAGTAAACATCAAACGCTATGAAAGCGAAAACCCAAACTAGAAAAACTCATCTGCTCAACTTTGCCGCGTTTTCTTTTGTCAGTCAAGATGTAAAAGGCGATTTCTTGGTTATGAAAAACCTGTAGAATAATATAAAGATGATCTAAAAGGACCTGCAGGTGATGAGGAAGCTGAGAAAGAGCTTGGATGAACTAAACTACAACCGTCTGGGTTGACATTCCATGTCTTGGCAGGAAGCTCGTTCACTTGAGTAAGCAAATTTGCATTCTGAGCTGCTCCAGTTTCACCACGCGGTCTATTTTCATAGAGATCCACAAACCTTGAGGTATAGCCTGAGCTAATCTGCATTTTCCCCGAGCTCATGGTGTATGGAGAATTAGCCTCGTTTTCCGGAGAATCATCAATTACAATAATTTCTCTGACAGCATTCGGCCCAACTGAAGTTGCATTCTGCCAATGAGAGATGGGAGTTGCTACAAACTTCTTCATATCACATGTTTCGTTTGGTCCATTTCTCGCAGTATGTAAATTTCCCCCACCTAAATAGTCTTGTCTGCCAAAGGGGGCACCCATCAATCCACTGCCACTACTCTTACACAAAAACGAGACTGGAGATGTAGGGGATGGCTGTACTTGTGGCCTTGAGTAACTGTCTTGACTTTTGAAACCATTTAACAATCTGACATCAAAATGCTGTACTGGATCACCACTTTGAGGGAAGTGAGGGACATGCCGATTATGCACATCCACCTGATGGAAGGAGTTGAGATCCTCGTTACGAAGTCTGGTGTTTGCCAGGTCATTCATGGAATTTGAGTGTGATGATCTTTTCAGTGGGCAATCTTCATCTTTGTTGATGACCATTAAGTCCTTCCCCATCAGCCTGAGAACTGGATTAGAAGCAGATGGACTAAAAGACTCGGATTCACGAGTTGGGAGCTTGAACTCAGAATCAGCAGAAACACCAAATTGAGTATGTCCCGTGGCCGATGATTTAGTGGGGGGATTTGTTTCAGGTCCTGAACTCGAGTCACTTAGAGAAAATGAGTTGCTCTTCAATATGATATTATTAGATCTCGTGAGTGAATCACGGCTCAATTGATTCTCACTCGCAGGAAAAGGGGAAAGGGCCATGGCTCGTCGCTGTAACAGCTGCGACTCTTCACGATTCACAGCAAACCCTTGAGATGTTCCTCCTTCTTTCCTGACACAACAACATGGCTTATCATTTGTAAATCTGGAAGTTCCTTTTCCAGGAAATAACGTATTTGCATCAAATTTGTCCAGTCCATCTTTATCATTTCCTGTATTTGCAGTCGGACGTAGTGCGACTGAATTTTCCACCAGAAGATCAACAGTGCTTCCAGATAAGCTAGACCTTTTATCTTCCCAGCCAGTGTGGCATTTGAGCATTTCTGATGAATCCCTTCCACTGACATACAAATTACCCGAATATCTTGAGCCAGTTCTAGCCATAGTTGAGTTAGAAACTGTTGATGCAGCAGACGTAGGCGAACCAGAAGAATCCTGATCAATGAATTCGGGATGATCTGCAGAAGATTGAATTCTGCTGCTGGTTAATGATGAACTCCCATGAAGGTCTTCTGAGCTCATACGACCAGGACTAGGTAAAAAGGATCCTGGTGGTCCTGGTATGGGGATTGGATCAACCTCCAAAAAGTAATTCCCTTGCCCATCGGCGTTAGATCCTAATTCAGTAACATCATGGACATCACCATCAATCATCCCTTCAACACCTAAAATAGGATCTTGTGAACATGTTGCAGCTTTGGTTCCAAGAAAAGATCCTTTGTACTCTTCGCTAAACAATTGTGACTCGCAATGAGACCTAGCAGGCCCAGACATCTCATCAGATCCAGCATCCATAGGCTTGCTAAAACTCATAAAATCTCCCCTCCCAGCAAGTTCAGAGGCAGCTGGATCCATAGTCTTATCACTCTGACTTTGATGATTCGCTTTCACAGATCCCATCGCATCAGATGCACCTGCTAAAATGTTGCCAGTTTCATTATCAGAATGGGTCAAAGCGGATTGTGAGCTCTTCAAGCCCAGAGTGCCTTCCACATTAGAGGCCATAATTCCCTCTCTATTTTTCCTGATGCTTAAAACTTCAGATCTTTTAACATTTACCCTATCACAATTCTTGCTTCCTTGGATTTTTGTTTCACTGAGATTTCCTCTTAAACAAAGTTTCTCTCCTTCAGTCTGGAAAACTTCAGCTTCTTCCGATTCTGAGCTGGAGCTCCAACTAGACTTCTTAAAGGAAGCTGTTTTCCACTTTAAATTATATTTAACACCACGAGCAGGCCCTTCACTGATGGACGAAAGGTTCTTTCTCAATGATGACAACTTCCTCGCCTTTGAGGAGAACGATGGATGTGGGGTGGACTGTTCACAGTTGATCTCAGAGTTATCTGTGTTTCTTCCAACTCTCACATTTTTCACAGAAAGTGCATGATCTATTGTCATTTTCGGATGATTGTTTACAGAATGGCCATCTACCTTCAAATGCTTTCCTTTGCACCTTTGTAACACTAGGGATCTCTTCTTGTTAGATGGGAGTGAAGATTGAGACGATGAAAAGTCCACCACTTTCTTGTGTAGAGAAGGCGGTTCCTCGCTACGTTCTTCTTGAGGCTGATCAAGTAGCATATTCCCCATTCTTTGGCTACTCTCAGGCAAACAAACAGATGATCTTGGAGATTTCACAAGACAGCTTCTCTTTTTAACTGAATCAGTCTGAGGCAACACATCATTGTCACTTTGCACGCCAGTCGACATATCAGCTCCAGAAAGCTGATGATTGTCCTTATCACTGATCTTCCTTGTGAGGCCAGTTCTCTTTGAACATGCCCATTGTTTTATGGTTGCCAATCCATTTGATAGCATCTGGTCCGCAGATCTGAGGTGCTTATTTAGGCAATCCACTTTGTCAACATTTTCTCTTGGAGAAAAGGTGCTCTCTTGACCACTCTTAATCTGTTCATAAAATATTTAGCAACTTAGTTCAAAGCAAATTAATATTACATACCAGGATTGCTAATTGGTAAAAACAAAATAATTTTGATAAAAGATAAATGACGTAAGATAGCAGATTGTAAATCCAAGAACTTTAAACTACCATGGTTTAGTTCTCAACATATGCAAAAAAACCCACCTGCACCCGCCCCCATTTCAAGTGAAACTGGCCCCTCCTTTCCACCAAATTACCAAAACAATCATGAAATTAAGCGAACATGAAGGCCAAATACAGAAAAAGACATTTAACATTGCTCTCCCAATATTATTTTGTTTTCCACTCCTAAAATTTTGCAGTTCCATTACTGCACTATAGTGCTACAGTTTTGGAAGAAATGAAATTTTCAAAGATGAGATGTACTTGATTAAAAAAGGGTTTCAAGAACAAAACCAAAGCTGAGGAAACTTCATTATATCCAGGATTTAAAAAAAACATACCTTGGGACAGTGATCTGGCTTGGACAAGCAAAACTTTTTAGTATGAGAAGCAGATTTCAGAAGGTTGTGGTGTTTCTTTCTCTTCTTTGTCAAAATGAATTTGCTTCTTTTATCTCCATCCACCATTTTTTTCTGGAGAGGATCAATAACCGGCTTTGATGATGGTAGCTGCTCATCATTGAACTTGGACAGAATTCGAAGCTTCGTGCCATTGGCGTCAATATAAACAGAACCTTCATTAGCAGTGCATTCAACGTTCACAGGAGGAGGTTTTTCCAGTTTCTCAACAGCAGGTACCTCAGTGATCTCTCGAACAGATAAAGTCGGGTTTGAGGCCCAGTTGGTTCCATTCCTCCTATCAAGATCCTCCAGTGTACAGCTTTTAGCAGTTACATAGATATCCACCATCAATCTAGTTTTTCTTGGCTTTATCCTGTGCTTGATCACCTTAGGATTTGCTGTCCACTTGGCTGTTGATGACTCCCCAGAGAGACATTGATCGATATGAGCGTTCAGCGTGGTGTTTGATGAGGATGTGAAAGTCTTGCAAACTGGACATACTTTCGAAGCCATTGCCTCAGACACCATGAAACTGTTTGTGGTAGTGTCTGCCTCGTCTACGTTCCGATCTGTGACGTTGCCAAATTTGACCATTAATCTGCACTTTTTCGCTGATTGTTGTACTGTACTCCCACTCTTGTTCGACATGGGAGGTTTCTTGACCAGAGGTTCCAGCAAGTTAACAGCTTCTGCTCCCGAGCAACGCAGTTTTCTTATTTCAGCTGTTGGAACTGAATCAATCTCAGAACAAGACCGACTAGTTATCATTGAACGAAACACCTTCTCTCTATCAGATCCACTTGAATTGATATTTCTACAATCCACAGCTAGTTTTGGCATACATATTCTACCACTGCTAGAATTAGTAGGCACAGGATCATCATCTAGCTCAACATGTTTCTCCTCAGAAGTGACTATATTGTCCTTGTCAGTCGAAGGATTATCTACAGCACATCCCTTATCAGATTGTAAAGGAGGTAACAAATCAATCGCCGCGCCATGCCTCAAACAAAGCTGCAAATTTTTCTGAGAAAATGGCCAATTGGTCTTGATGTCCTTTCTCCTAGTTCTGAAAACATAATCCCTACAAGACAATACAAAACATTTCATATCATATGTCAATAACCTCAAAACAAAACAGCAAAAGGAACCCCCACAACAAAAGAAAGCAACAATCTTTAATTGCTTACTATATCACATGAAGAAGAACCAACATAAAACTCATCTCATACACATTCACATATGTATATCATAATAAATATAGTTACATGAAATCTTAACCAAGACTAGAGGTAAAAGACAACAACCTAAAAAAGACTAATTTTTTTTTGTTTCCCAATATCAAAAATCAATGAGAAACAGTGGATCTGACCAACAAAAAGAAAATTCCCAGATGACTAAAAAACCCTTTGAACAGTAAAACATTGAAGAGGTGACTAGAAACTAAAATACCATACAAGACAGAAGCAGAGTTTTTTTTTAGTTTTTTTTTTTTTTTTTTTTACCTTATGGAGAATTTGTTGTTGTTGTTATCATCAAGGTCAGAGTTGGACAGATCTACTAGCTTGTTATCAGAAGAAGGCCTTTCATCACTACTACTACTTTTCAGTAGAGAGATATGACAAGGATCTGGTGGAATGTTTTCAATGGATAACATCTGCTGATAAAATTCTCCCTTCTTCTTCTTCTTGTGCTGTCTTCCCAACAGTCACAAGAACTGCTGCTGCTGCTACTGTAGCTATATTTTCCAAGACTACTACTTAGTCTTATCTCCTTATTATACTTAGCCTTCAGCATAACAGTAGCCTAAAGGCCTCTCCACATACACAAAAAATAATATGAATACTTACTGTTAACACAACAAAACCCCACCAACAACAACAACAAGATTTACCCTTTCTTCATTAAAATCAACCTGCAAAGATAAAAACAGAAGATCAAGAAATACCCACAAAGACTAAAGGGGAAATTAACAAGTACAATGTTATTTTATGTGTTTTGAAGTAAATCTGAAGCATCTATTTATGTTGAATCATCTTTAAAAGACTAGTAGAACAAGAAAAGAACCAATTTTGGGAAAGAAAGAAACCCACAAGCAAAGATGTGAAGAAAGATCAAGACTCGTGTAATGTTATTTTATGTGGACAAAAACCAAGAAAAAAGGTCCATAAAATTTATCAAGTTTTGCTTATTGGGTTACAACTAAGCACTAATACACATCAAAAAATCAAGACCAAACAAAGTAAATCTGATTAAATCTTAACAACAAAGGGATGATTTTTTTTCAAAAGTTTTTGCTATATACAATGAACCATATTAGAAACTTGAGTCTTTTGGTCAAGGATATAGTGGAAAACTGAACAAGAAAACAAAAGGGCATTGAAGTTAGATAGAGATGAAGAAACCCCTGAAATCAAAATTAAATCTTTTTTGGTTTGGTCTCAATGAACAGTAAAAGTTCAAAACTTTTTAGCTGAAAACCAGATTTGCTTGTTTTGATCAAAGAAGAGTTAAAACTCCTCAAAAATATTGAAGCAAAAAAACAATCAGATCATGAAATCACAAGAAATCTTAGTAATCAAACCTTATCTAGCTAGTATATACCCCAAACACCAGCTCTAAAATTTAAGCAAAACCCAGATGTAAATGAAGAAAAAAAAGATGACCCAAGAGAGAAAACAAGCAAATAATGGAAAAAGATCAAGTGGGTAAGAGAAGAAATCCCCAAAAAAGAAATAAAAATAGAGTCTTTAGTTGGTTTTCAAGACTAAAAATGAGAAGTTTCAAGAAGATAAAATGAGAAAGAAGAATAATAACAAGAAATATACCAAAAAGTATTAGTATTACTAGTAGTAGTGGCTGGATGAATGGATGGATGGAGAGGAGATGAGAGTATAGAGAAGAGAAGATTGAAAGGAAAGAAGAATAGTGAAGAGATATAGAGAGTTGATGAGAAAAGAGCACCACCCACTCACACATCAAAAGAGGGCATCAGGTTCTTCTCTCCACCAAAAAGCAGGTTTGGACAATTAATCACCCACTACCCCCTCTTTTACCCCCCTTCCTTGAGTGAGAAATAGAAAAAGGGTGAATTTTTTTTTTGATTCATATGTTGTTTTTGTACTAAAATTTCACTAATTTATATTTGTACTAAATATAATTTAGTGTTTGATACTTGTATTGAAATTTAACTAATTTAGATTTGTGCTAAATAAGATTTGGTGTTGATACTTGTATAGGAGTAACCTCATCTATTATACCATAACTAGTACTGAAATCTGACTAATCTAAATTCACACTAAATAAGACCCAATTTAAGAATAATATGAGTAACCTTATCTACCGCATTGTATCATCTTGTATAAATGTTTTTTCTTACTACTTCTCTTTAGTTTCAAATTATAATTTTGATTGACATGAGATTAAAAAGGATGAGTTTTTAACACATACAATAAACACTCTTTTAAGGGTCTTTTTGGTTGGTTATCGCTAAAATTAGCATCAACATAAAAAATTTGCATAAAATAACACTCTTTTGTTGTATTTGATGTGTTTTAATTGAATCGAGATCTATCTATAAAAAAAATATTTTTATCTTTATAAGATTGGATAATATTGTATACATATCATCATCGTCAAATCTTTCAATTGCTTTATTAATAAATCACCATTCAAAACACAATTTCATACATTATAATCTATGTATAACTAAAAACATAAATCAAACGATGCATAAAATTGTGATCTTAAATATTGCATGAGACTCCTATAATATAAACTATAAATAAAGTAAAATCAAACAAAACATCAAAAAAAAAAAAAAACTTTTTCTAATAAAATGAAGAAGGCAAATGTTACAAATTAATACTATCTTCGTTATAATTTATTTATCTTACTTTTTTTAATTTATTTTCTTTTTTGTCTTTTTGAACAATCCTCTAATTCAAATTTTTACTATAAAAATAATGACATTTTCATACACTTTATACATCTTTAATTTATAATTACATAATTTTAAAAAAATTATATTCTTTAAACTCCTATTAAATTATAACATGACAAATAAATTAAAACAAAGTGCGATTAATAAATATAAAAGAGGAGAAATGGTAAAAAAGGAGATGGGGGTGTTACTCTACTAAGCTGGCCTATCCACTACCTACCCTATTAAGAGGGGGTGGGTTGGGTGGGGGGCCTAGTTTGATTTTATTTTTTATTTTTTATTTTTTTGTTATGAATTGTTTATTGTTGAATTTTTTTTCCCTCATCATGTTTGTGCTAGAATGTCAGTTTCGGCCCCACATCTTTTATGAAATTACACACCGCTACGCTCCCTTTTTCCAATTGCCCACTTCACTACACGACAACTTTTTTTTTTCTTTCTCTCTCTCTTATTTATGTGTTTGATGATGACAACAAAATAACATTCAACTTGTACTAGTCTTTTCTCTTCTTGTTCATGTTTTTATTTCTATCACCTCACTTTTACCCTTCTTTGCATCTTTATTACCTCCTCCTTGTACTTTGGGTGAAATTCTATCTCAATTTACGTGATATATTATTTTTAAATATGCTAACAAATAAAATAGTGTCACATAAATTAAAACGAGAGAATTATTATAAAGTTTATTTGTAGTTGATAAGTGTTGTTACGTTATTGTTTGATCATAAATTTGAAATATGGTTTCAAAAACTAACTCAAACTAATTTATGTGGTATATTATTCTAAATTATGATGTTAAAGTAAAATAATATCATACAAATTAGAATGAGTTGATAACTAGTAGTATTACACTATCTTTAACTATAAATTTTGAAAATAAATTTCAAATATTGAAAAGTTTATTCGTGAAATCTGGTTTCAAAAAAGAATTTAATTTTATTTGTAAGGTGAAATTTCACCTTGACCTATAAGATTTCAAAAAAAATAAATCCAAGTAATACATATCTAAACACAACTTCATGTTCAAAAATGTATTTTTTGAAATTGATTTATAAATTAACTTATATGTGTTTAAGTTGTAATGCTAGAACTGATAGTAGCGTTTGATTTATTTTTTTTAAATATGAATAATCAATTTTTCTACTATTAAAATGACTAATATGTACATAAAGTTATTTATTTAAGTGAATTAAAAACAAAAGGAACTAGGAATTGGAAGGACATGGATTTTTCTACTCTTTGGAGGAGTAGTGCTATATTGAGTATTTAGAAAATATTTTACGGATTAAATAGTAGAATATTTGATCTAACAATAATTATTTATAAGCTTAAAGTAATAAGTGATCAAATTTATAATTTTTAGTTAATTTTAACTCGTTAAGTACTTTGATGTTTATCAAACATATTTATAAATTAAAAAGTGCTTATAAACTTAATTATCCTCTAATTTATAATAATTTAAGATGAAAATATATACAATTAATTAATATTAATTTAACAATACAGTTTATATATAGAGATATTGAATTGACGTAAACACCAAGTTATTGCTAAGTTGTTGCTCGTAATGAATCATCTCATTGCTTGGTAGCTTCTTGTAATATTGTAAGGCATTCACACTAGCTTAGCTAAATTTTATTTGTTTGTTTTTTTAGTAAAACACAAGGAAATTGCAGTTAAAGCAATTCTACGTTACATAAAATACTATATTATATGACTTGGAATAATTTTCATTCTAAATTTTATACAAATATCTTGACATGATTATCACGTTTAATCATGATTACAATATGGCTACTTCAAATCTTATGTAAGTATAAGATATTTTGTGCGTCAGATTATCCTTCGATTATCACAAAAAAATTCTTGAGTAACATGTGATTATTTTTTAGTAAGCAACGCGATCTTGATTAATTAGTTCACTGGCCTTTTGTTCATGAGTTAATAATTACTAGACAATTTTTCTTTACCCATAATTAATATATATATATATATAAAGTGTGATGCACGTTAAATATTTAATGTTTAATTTTATTTCGTACAAAATTAAAGGTGTGTCATCTTTTTTTCCTTCATTATATAATTTGTTGGAAGATTTGGTCTAGTCCTCCTGTGTGTACGTTCTTATTTTCCTTTGTTAATATTGCATTTAATTCTTGACAAGAAAATGGCCGGACTTAATATGAAAATCTTAAATTAGATATTTGAACGTTGTTTCGCTTTCTTATTTGATGGAACATTGTATCGATCCACTTCTTCCTTTCATGTAGTATTAATATTAGTATTATTTTTGTAGTTTATTATTCTTTGATTCCTATCACTTTCGTGTTATTTCTTGTAATTTTGTTATCGTATCATTTAGTTATTGTTGTTATCGTTTCTTCTTCACTTTCATATTGATATTTTTTCAAATTACACTGAATGTTTTTTATGAATTGAGGGCCTATTGAAAAATAAACATTTCTATATCTGCAAAGTAAGAACATACTTCACTTATAAAATTATATTGAATGTATTTATTATTAATTCTTGATGGTTTATTAAGAAAGAAAAGAAAGTGAGTTTCTTTGTTATTTTATAACTAAAAAAAACATATTTGCATTAATAATTAACCTAACTAGTAAGAAACCTAGACTTATTTTCTAATGAAAATATCTCAAATCTCCAAACTAGTAGTGTACATGGCCGGGTTGGTTCGGGTTTTTCAAATATCAAACCAAATTATTTGTGTAAAAAAATTAAATTTATAAACCAAACCAAATTAATAAAACTCGGGGTTTTCAACCTCGGATTGGTTTGAGTTTTTCAAATATCAAACCAAATCATTGTGTCGAATTTTTAAATCAAACCAAACTAATTATAAATCTCAGATTTTTCAGGTTTTTGGGTTTTTCCGATAAAGTGTGCATACAAACATATAATTAACTTGTGCTCCAAATATTTCTTTAGTCCAACCAAAATGCAGCTATCTAAGATGTTTCTTAAGAAAATAACACAAAATATGAGATGAATGATGACACTAAAATATTCAATAAAAAATAATAATGAAATCATCATATAAAATAAATATTGCAAAGTCATAATGAAAATTATCATAATTTAAAAAATCATGCTAAAACAAGTCTAATAAGTATTAGTTACATGATTAAACATTAAAAAAGTTAAAATTAGATTATGTATTTTAAATGTCTAAACCAATGTAAGACTAAAGAACAAATATTCAACATTATTGTCATTCTTAGTGTTGAATTAATTTATTTTGTTAGAATAGTATTGATTTGATTTCGAATTGAGCTTTATTAGAGTTACTAATATCCATGGACTATAACCTTTATTAGATCATTCAAAATTCTAAGTTTAAAAAACTTGAAAAAATATAATAAAAGATAAAAATTATGAAAACGTATAAGCAATATTTAGAAATTACATCAAAATAAATACTTTATGTATAAAATAAATTTTAAAAATTATATATGTAATGTCGGATTGGTTTGGTCTCGGATTGACTTTTTTTAGTTAAAACCAAATCAACCCAAGTATAGTCAGATTTTTTTCCAATTGACTCAATTTACGATTTGATTCATTTTTCTATTCGATTTTGTACCCCTACTCAAAACTTTATAAAAATAGCTTAATTGTACGTTATTCTCTTTAATTCCATTATTATAGCAAGTAGGCATCAATCGTTTTCTAAGTCTATTGGATTTATATATATAGGCCACATTTTTTCTCCTTCATAAGATGAGAACCACATAAAGTCCTAATATTTATTATTTCATTCGTTTTAATTTATTTGTCTAATTTTTATTTTACAAAAAATGTAACTACTGTTACAAATCCACTTAATTGTGTGGATGCTTCTCTTAATTCATCTCTAACGTAATGTATGTATTTATTGTATTTATTATAGTTGTACTAACGTATTTGGTTAAAGGATGAAAACATGTGTTTTCTAAATCCTATAAAAGGGTAGTCTTTTTACCCTTGTGAGAACACACTTGAAGAGTTTTAAATAATATTCTCCACTCTATACTTCTCATCACAATTTGTCTTCCTTACTTGTTTAG